TTCTTTCTTTCCTTTCCCCTTCCCTTCCCTTCCCTTCCCTTCCCTTCCCTTCCTTTCCCTTCCTTTTCTTTCTTTAAATAACCCTTTAAAAACATCAAAAAACATTGTTTTCTTGAGGGCTGTCCTTGGCCCCAGCTCTCATCCCTTGCTGTGTCTTTGACATTTCCTACCACGCTTGTTACCACGCTGGTCTCCTTGATCTTCCAGGAACGTACCAGGCACACCCTGCCTCGGTGCCTTTGCACTTGCTGTTTCCATAGTGGTTTTCACTGAGGTATCTGCTTCCTGCTTACTGGCTTCATCCAGGTTTCTTTTTCTTTCTTTGTAAGTTTATTTATTTTGAGAGAGAGAATCCCAAGCAAGTTCCATGCCATCAGCACAGAGCCAGATGCAGGGCTCGAACTCAAGAACCGTGAGATCATGACCTGAGCCAAAATCAGGAGTCAGACGCTCCACCGACTGATCCACCCAGGGCCCCTTCATCCAGGTTTCTGTCCACATGTCTCCCTGCTACAGAGGCCTTCGTTCACCAGCCTGTCTGAAATAACCCCCTGTTGTTACCCTTTCCCGGCTTCTTAACACTTACCACCCTGTACCTATTCCATGTTTGTACACTGTTTGCCTCTTCTCTCGTAGGCTCTCAATTCCATGAGAGCAGGAATGTTGTCTGCCTTCACCTGCGACCATACTCCAAGACCTGGAACACAGTACACAGACCTTCAGGGAATATCACCTTTTAAATTATTCTTGGTTCTCCACCCCTCCTCCCTTGTGGATTTTCTAAGGGCAGGTGTGGATTAGCTGTGGGTCCTGTGGTGTGGTTTTCCTACTTTAGCATATAGGTGTATGTCCATAAACAAGGTAAAGATCTCTTCTTGGTTTGTTTAAGAAAATTATAAAAGTGGTATCCTATCGTCCGGATAGGATTTTACATTGTCGTTGTAAACCACACACAGGTGAACTCCTGGGCTTGTCTCCTTTTCCAGACTTGGGAGAGTTTTTCTAGAGCGTAGCTCCAGATTGTGCACACGGGGCATAGGCTTCCTTTTGGTTTCCTTACCTGCTGACAGATCGCTTTCTCACAGGGGGCATTCTCCTCCACTCTGGGCATTTATCAGACTTTTAAACGTTGGCCTGCCTCCTGAGGAAGAAACGGTGCATCGCGTTACCAGTGATGAGATGTTCTTTGGAGAATCGGATGGATGTGCCGACAGTTGGGAGGTCAGAGGTGCAGGAGGCAGAGAGGACTTCCAGATTCTGGCCTGTGTGACAAGGTGGTGCTGCTGCCACCGGAGAAGGGGAGGTCCGGGGAGGCGGGGCTAGGAGAAAGCCATTTGGAGGGTTTTTATGGTTTTTTTTGCTTTTTTTGTCAAAAATGACATTACTTTGCCCTGGCTTCGGGAGGATATTTTCACCGGGTGTACAGTTGTAGTTTATCAAGTGAATTTCTTGCAGTGTTTCGACGTGCCACTTCATTGCCTCTGGTTTCCATGGATTCTGCTGAGAAATCAGCTGTATCTGTCTTGTTCTTTTGAAGGTAATCCCTCCCCCATCCCCACTTTGGCTGCTTTTCAGATTCTTCTCTTTGCCTTTCATTTTCAGCTGTTACTGTGATGTGTCCAGATGTGGTTTTCCTTAAAACTATCCTTGTCGGGGCTGGTGGCGGTTCTGCTTTTTGGTGGTGCCGTGACCAGACTTAATTTTACCTTAGATTTGGAGAATTGGTGCTCATTATCTCTCCATTCATTCCTTTGGCTGCATTCCCCATCTCTCCTTCTGGGACTCCACCTTTTCATCATGACCTGTGTGACTGACTCTTTTCTGTGTTCTTGTCCGCATTATGGGTCTGTGGTTCACTCCGTGTATATTCTTCTGACCTGTATCCCCAAATACGAATAATCCTTCCCTCATCTCCAACCCGCACTGAAACCATGTCTTGAGTTCTCAATTTCTTTCAGTGACTGCCTTCTTCAGTTTTCTTGATTCTTTTTTTCAGATTCCCAATTTCCTGCTGAAAATTTTCATCTTGTAAACTAATTTCTTTGTTGTATTAATCACGGTTATTATAAGGTCCCCGTCTGATAATGTCAATATTTGGATAGCTTGTGAGTGTATTCTGTTGTCTGTTCTTCTCTTGGTTTTCAGTCATGTGGTCGTGACTCTAGACATACCTGGTAATTGTAGACCATGTGTGTGAAAGCTTGTAGACTCTGGCAGTTTTCCTTAAGGGAGGCTTCTGGCAGGCAGTTAAGGCAGGGAAATACCACTTTAGAATTGTGAGGATTGCTCTGCTTCTGGTTTGCCCCCCTCCTGGGGTAGCTCTTTGGCAGTCCCCACCTGCCCGAAGGCCTGGGCTGTTTACTGGGCTCCTCTTATCTGGCAACCCCTGAGCTCTCCCCCCCCCCCCCCCCAAGACTGCCAGAGGCCATGCCGGCCCACTCACATTCTCCACCACTTGTTTCTGCTTAGCGTTTTGGCCTCTCTGCTTCTACAGTGAATTGGCAAACCTCTCCAGGAGAAAAGTGGCCCGGATTTTGGGCTCCCCTCTCTGCACTTACCTCTGGGATCCTGGCCTCCTGAGTCCTCACTGCATTTGGTAGCTGTCTGATACCTTCACACAGTTGTTTCTTATAATTTGTTCAGCTCTTTCGGTTGTTCTTGGCAGATGGGTTTGTCAGTTACAAACTAGTCAGCCTTTACTGGAAGTGGCATCTCAGGAGTTCAGTTTTGGTGTTTAGAATTGGACTCGGTAGTGAGAAGTCCCAGTGGAGGTGGCTGTGAGAGTCCGCTGCTTGGAGGACCTGAATGGGTGGGAGATGAACCTTGGGAAGACTTCAGCGCCCTTTAGTTAGTGGGACCAGATGAACGAGATCACTCGTGGGAGAGAGCTGAGAGAAAGGAGAAAGTCCCAGGACTGGGGACAGCCGAGGAAAGGAGACCTGGAAAGGGTAGCCAGTGGCGTTGGGGGGGGGGGGCCCTTGGGGTCCTTGGGGGTTGTGCGGTGTTGCAGAAGTAGAGGGGGGAGTGGTGTTGTCGGAAGCGAGAGTGGTCAGCTGCATTGAATGCCTCTGAGAGGTACACTTAAATGAGGATGGAGAAGTGTCCCCTGGACTGGGGGACAGGCAGGGGGCAGGCAGAGGAGGGACCGGGAAAGATGTTTGCTTGCTTTAGGAAGAGCCGGTGCCACGCCTGCGAGTGGAGGTTTGCCCCGGGGATGAGAGTGGCCGGAGGGCTGGGGCTTGGCGAGGGAGAGGGGTGCCTGTGTGTTTTGCCATGAAACTTCTCTTGAGTAAATCATTTTGATGGAGGACCCACAGCAGCTCATACCAGGTGAGTTAACATAGCAGGTGGCATGGTCACACTCTTAGAGTAACTTTGGGAGAGACGTATTAGCTCTGAAAGGGATTATTGGCACATCCTTTAGGAAGCAGATTGATCAACCTGTGAGATGGGACTATTGAAACTTGGGAAGATAGGTTTTATCAAACACTGCGCACGATAGAACTACTCTGCAGTTGTGGGAGAAGAATAAGTCCCTTTGATGAGAGTAGAAGATACGTGACTCTTCTTCCTGATTTTTGAAGTTAATCAAGCTTCTCAGCACTGTGTAGTCAGCTCCCCATTTGACTTGGTACGACAGACATCAGGTTCTGTAGGGTGTTACAGCTTGGTTGCAGACAATTCAGCACGTGTTTATTTGGGATAAATCTATCGTTCAGTGTTTGGTAACTACTAGACCCACCTGGGTCACGTTAGTTGTCCACGAAGATTGGGTGATTTGCTTTCACAGAGCAAATTCACTCTTCCGGCTGACTTTGTTTTTGCCGGTCACGAGGAGCTCTGTTCAAATCGTGGAAAATAAGTTCCGGTCCTAAACTCTCAGCAGGGTTATTTTTAATTACTGTACTCTTCTTTTTGAAAAACTGATTCCTCTAATAAATAAAAGCAGTTTGCTATAAAACTGGACATTTTAATGATGATTGAAAAATATTTCCCAATATCTAGGTAATTAGTGATTTTTTTCCCCCAGTTTCATCCAGATGTTTGGCTGTGTGTAGACCCAGCCTTATTGCAGTTTTCTAATTCACTTTCATGGGAACATATAATATTCTCCGTTTATTTTGGACAGCAGAGTTTCCTTTTTCTGTGGACAGATACATATGAAACACATGGTCTTTGAGTGGAGTTTGTGGTCCTCTGAGAATTCTCTGAAGGAGGAAATGGGTTGACCTACTGGTTGCTATGAAGTAAAAACAATCTTGTTTTCATTTTTTCAGTGAACATCTGGGTTGCATTTATTATTTTACATTCTCGAGGTTCTTTAAAACCACAATTTGATAATAGGAGGGTTCATTAAAGCCGTGACTATTTAGCTATTTCTGTAATTGATTTAAGTGTTAGGGTGGATGATGTATTTAGAAAAGAAACAAAAATTGGATATTTCTTTCCTTTCTATGAAATGTAACTTGCAAGTAACAACCTTTGATTTTAAACCATAAAATAGGGTGTAGGTACTTTGAGGGGCAGGGGAAGGAATGGTCACCTGGCTCATTTCTCTGTGGCCCTTTGCTGCTCAGTTGGTGGCTGTGGGTGTCTGATCTGTTACGATACCAACTCCTAGGGAAGGGGACCTTATGGCCACTAGAGAGTGGAACTTAAAAGCCATAAACCAGGAAAGGAAGTCCCTTTTTCCTTCTCCTCGACTGGAGGAAGGGAGCGTAAGCAGGTCTGGCCAGTAAGCTGTGAAGGGCAGTTTGCGGGGGGACTTCTTGGAAAGGTTTCTTCTTTCTTGGAAAAATACG